ACTACCTCCTGGAATAGCCCTCTAAGTCCAGCAGGAGTCTTCAATCAGTGCCTGCAAAACTCCACTCCTATGTACAGAGTTATAAAGCCTTGCAGAAATGAGTCAGTAACAAATCACCCTTGTGCAATTTAAAGGCTGCAAACAGGTAAATGACACTGCTGTCACCAATCACAAACAGGCAACCTCTGAAGGTGCCCACAATGTCTTGTGTTTAAAAAGGGTAACTGCAGTCTAATCTAATCCTGTTGTCTAGTAGAGCTACACTTGCTCTTTAAGTTTTTTCTTCATTCAGAACAAAGTCCGATGCTCTGAGTAGTGTGAAGGGGTGTGATTTGTTTAAAGGTTTTAAAGATTTCTGAGTTTCACTGAACCTCAAACATCTCATTAAATCACATTTAAATTTCACAAAAAAAAGTGCCTTCATAGTCCCTCTCACAATTGTCCTCACAATATCTGAGAAAGATTAGAAAAATAAATAAAACGTTCGAATTAGAATGGTTTATCAGGATATTGAAAAGCTGGGTATATCATTTGTTGTAACTAAGGCTGAGGAAATGTGTAGCTCTGCTGATATAGTGTATCAGTTAATCACTAATAAATATCAAGAGTGTGCATGAATTGTTCTGTGTGTAAAAGTATAACTCAAGATGACTTTGTGGGATCATAGACTCCTGCTGTATTCATTTCTATCTTGAGTCAATCAGTCTGTGTAATTCACATATAAATTTGCAAGTCATACAATGAATTGATTCACAGTAATGCACAGCTCCACATTTTAATGTCTTTATTTAATTCTAAGCACTTACTGTATTTACTCAATTTATTGATTTTTTAAAGATAATGTTAATATCAAGAGAAATACCCAAGGCATTTCACCATTTATGTTTGTAAAATTGACACATGCTCTAAAGCTGAGATTTAAAATCCCCATAAAGAAAGTATGATATTGCAGTTGTAAGCTAGGAGGAGCTTATCAAATGAGAAGTAGACCTAACAGGGGGAGTGTTCCCTTAGGTCTTCACCCTCCTTGTGTGACACGGGAGATTGCAGCTGGAAAGTTTTAAAACTGGATGGATATAAAGTCCGGGAGTGGAGCAAGTGACAATTTCATTGTTATTATTTGTAAAAAGGTACATCATTATATTTAACTGGGAAAATGATACAGCCACAGATTCCTGACATTGTTTTACACTGGTCTTGAGGCTCATAAGCATGGTTGACCACAGGTTGAAGAAAGATATAAGATGTGAAAAAGGGGTTAGCTGATTTCTTTCTACACAGAGATTTCTTGTGACACAAGATATTCCAGGCTTAAGCACCTTTGAGTTATGGCTGGGAGGGGAGTTAACTGATAAGAGATTCTAAGTGCAAGATAGAGACCCCCTAACTAAGGAAAG